ATATATATATATATATATATATATAGCTTCTATATATTATGTAACACTTAAATATTTCATATTATTCATTATTCTAAGGAATCATGAAAAGAATATTGTATCTTTTCCCAAAAGATGATATTTCTTACTCGCGTTCGTTTGTTTTCTCTTTCAAGAGTAATACGGGGAGCTTAGTCGTTTCGAATCTGTTTTTATGTGTTTTTATAAGAAATAGCGAATGAAAAATGAATCGTAAAATATTGTAATCGAATGAAAGATATAATTGTAATCTGAACAACGTATACATGTTTAAAAAGTAATATTCGGCGTCACATAAATACGATCAAAACTAATACATATTTAAAAACTAAGATTAAGAAAGAAAGAAATTTTTTTCGGAATAATTTTTATGATATAATATTTAATCCGAAAATATTTGTGATATTCTTTAGATATAATTCTTTTTATCTTTCTTATTTTATATTTATCTATGTATATAAAATATGTATATAAATTTATGTATAAATGTCAATTCAAATGAAAGAAGAATGATTTATAGTTAGAGGTCAAAAAACTCACCGGCAATAACTGTATCCTGAAGATTATATTTACTAGAGCCTGTTTTTCCTACTTTTGGAAAATCCTTAAGTTTTCGACCGCTAAGCTTGAGCTCACCGCTTAAGTGTGCTTCCTCCAGGATTCGCTCAAGACTTCTAGTGAGCTGCTTTTGTATGTGGCCGCTCATGTTCGACGCGACCATCGCCATATTACATTTTTCGGGTACGTACACGCGGAAGCACAACAGCGAATATCTTTCCTGGCGTATCAGCCACTCGTCTTTTAGACGACGAGGTAAGATGTTATAAAAAAAAATTAACACCCACCAACTACTCCCGATACTTGCTTCTGCGCTACTGATCACAACTTAGTAAAGCGCATGGATGCAAACGATTATAGCGCCCCCATTTAGACGCCATTTTAAAAACAATATTCGATTTTATTCGAGTATCGCAATTGCAATCGATTTCTATAATTTCATTTAAAATATTCTTTTATTGATGCATCAAAAAATTAACGTTTAAAATATTTTTAATTTCAATAAAACCAAAGTAAATGCTCACAGGAAATAATATTTAATTTAAATATTTAAGAAATCGAAAAAATACAATTGATTCAAAATTAAAATTTGATAAAATCAAATCAGAATTCTGTATAGTTTCTATTCTTCTAAAAAAAAAAAAATTATTTAGATTATTAATATATAGTTCATTGTTATTATTTTTAAAATAATTAATTTAAAACAATTTTAGACATTATCACTTTCATTGTCATAATTACTTACATTCATTCAGATCGAACTATCATACATTTTTTCACATATATATGTATATTTAAACTTACATTCACATTTTATATTCCTTCATTTCATTATACGTTTAATATACACCATTCATACACTATATAGAAAAAATTAAAATAATTCCTAACATAAATGTATTAAATTATTTCTGAATTCACTAATTTTTTTTTTGTTGCGAAAGTAAATTATTCGATTCTTGATATTCTCTTATTAATCGTTCTTCTACTTCTGGTAAACAAGGTGTATATCTTGCATATTCCATAGTAAATTCTCCTTTCCCTTGAGTAGTAGATCGCAATTCGCCAATGTATCCAAACATTTCGTTTAATGGAACTTCTGCTTTTAATGTACACCATCCTTCATTGTTTTCTGTATTGGTTATGATACCATGCCGTCTAGTGATTTGAGCATTAACTATACCCTTTAATATAATAATATAAATTAATTTGAAATAATATAAAATATAATTTATTATCAAGTAATAGAAAAATATATATTCTTACTTACTTGAAATTCTATAGGAGTCGTTATTTCCACCGACATAATTGGTTCTAAAATTTGCCATGATCCATTTAAAAATGATTCTTTCATTGCACCTTCTGCAGCGAGAAAAAATGCTAATTCTGAAGAATCCACGATATGATGCATACCATCAAATAATGTAAATTTAACACCTGCTATTTTATGACCAGAGAGATATCCTTTTTCGCACATAGTTTTAAATCCTCTTTCTACACCAGGAACAAATTGTTTTGGAACATTTGTTCCTATTGTTTTATCAAGAAATATAAGTTCAGTATTTTTTTCCATCGGTAATGGCTATAAAAATATTATTGCAATGTAAATAATAAATATATAATACAGATATAACAAATATAACGAGATTCAAATAAATCAAATTATTACTTCTAATATCCCAATTATACGCGCGTATTGGCCAGCTCCTCCTGTTTGCTTTTTGTGGAGATAATCAAATTCGATAGGTTCACGTAATGTTTCGCGAAACGAAACTTTTGGTTTTCCAAGTATAATAGGACAACCATATTCACGTTCAAGTCTTTGAGCGTATATTTCTAAATGTAACTCTCCCATTCCAGAAATTAAAGATTCCTAAATCATAGTATTGTATTATAGTTTTCTCAAATATATATTCAATATATTAGTACATATACAACATAACTTTTCATATTTTACCTTATTATCTGTATCATAATGATATTTTAAAGTAGGATCTTCTTTGGTAAATCGTGCGATACCTTTTGAAAAATTATCCCGATCTTTTGAATTTTTTATTTGAATAGACATCGATACTACAGGCTCAGGTACATAAATAGATTCCATCGATAACTTTAGATTAGAATTACTGACAAATGTATCACCTGATGCACAATCTATTCCAAACAAAGCGAAAATATCCCCGGCATATACTTCGGATACATCTTCCATTTGATTTGAATGAAGTCTTACTAGTCTTTGAATTCGAACCTAAAAAATATTATATATATATAAAAATTTTATTTTTAAAAGTTATATTACATTTATATACAAACTTTTTTATTTGTTCTTGTATTAATTAAAGTATTTCCTTTGCTTATCATTCCTTGATAACAACGAAAATAAGTTAATTGACCAAATTTTCCAGCTTCTAATTTAAATGCTAATCCAATAAAAGGATGTTTGTTACTTCTTTCAGAATTTAACAAAATTTTAACAGTTTCATTTCTATAAATGAAAATTCATTATTATTCAATTATTATTATTCATTATTATTATTAATAATTCAAAAGCAATAAATAAATCATGATAAGAAACTCACTTATCCTCTTGAAGTGCATAGTTTTCAACTTCTCCAGGATTTGGCAGATAATTTATAACTGCATCTAATAACGGTTGAACACCTTTATTTTTTAAAGCAGTTCCAACTAGAACTGGTACAAAAGTTCTTTTTATACAACATCTTCTAATAGCATTTATTATATCTTTTTCAAGAATTTGTATTTCATTTAAATACATTTCTCCAAGATACTCATCAACATTGCTCAAATGTTCAATTAACTCTTGTCTTTTTTCTTGTGTTTCTATATAAAAAATATGTTTGATTTATTTAAAACATATGACGTTTTTTGTAAGATATTAATAATTTTTCTCTAAGATATTAATAAATTAAATATTTTGCATTTATAATTCATCTAGAAATTTAGCAAGATATGACATTTTGTGAATTTAATATTCATTGAATAATTTATGATTATACTATATCTCTAGATGAAGTACATATTATGTACCTGTTCTCATATCTGATGGAATTTCATCTTCTCTTACAACTTCACCAAAGTTTCCTTCAAAATATAAAGCTTTTAGATTAATTAAATCTATTACTCCTTTGTTGTTACTTTCTAAACCAATAGGTAATTGTAAAAATGCAGCATTAAGATTTAATTTTCCTCTTAATTGTTCTAAGATTCTCTTATGATTAGCACCTAATCTGTCCAATTTATTAATAAATGCTATGCGAGGTACATTATACCTTCTCATTTGTCGATCTACAGTTATTGTTTGTGATTGTACACCACCTACTGCACATAATACAAGTATAGCTCCATCTAAAACACGTAAAGATCGTTCTACTTCTACAGTAAAATCAACATGACCAGGAGTATCAATAATATTAATATTATGATCTTTCCATAAAGTGTAAGTTGCAGCAGATTGAATTGTAATGCCTCTTTGTCTTTCTAATTCCATACTATCCATTGTTGCTCCAACATTATCTTTACCTCTCACCTATTATAAATATTCTATTACAATTAATAAAAAATTTATATTCTATTATATGAATAATAGTACAATTAAAATTATTTTTTTTTCACCTCGTGCATTTTAGCTATTCTTCCAGTATAAAATAATATTCGTTCTGTTAAGGTGGTTTTTCCAGAATCAATATGTGCCGATATACCAATATTTCGAATCTTTTCCAATGATTTATGTTCTGCATATTTTGCAAATGATGATAAATATTGTAAATTGTTCTATTAGATATTCAATGATATAATTAATTATATAAATAACCTTAAATAATTGCTAAACAATTTAAATTTTGCAGGTTAGAATACTTACTTTTGAAATATGAGAGTAATAAGTTAAAAATGATTTTAAATTGATATCATGTCTTAAAATTGTTATTATAGACATAATAGTTAAGTATTTTATAATATACTGTAATATTTAGGAAAATAATTTAATAAAGAATAATATATATCGAAAATTTCTGGCAATTGAGCATAATCGGATGTATCCGTGAACAATTATGAAAATATGTATTTTATAAATATTAATAATAATGAAAATATTTATTATGCATATCTTAACTAATATTTAATAAATAAAAAATTTTAAAAATAATTTTATTATTTTTCATGTAATTATTTATTTCATTATTTGTTCACATTATTATTATAATACGATTTATTTTAACATAAATACTGCACACTGTAACATACCATTGTAACTTTATTAAAATAAAACATAACAAGCTTATTTAATGTATATATTAAAATGTTTATATACTACAAATATTTACATTGAGATTACAGAAAGTATGAATTTTGTGCTTAGATAATTATAAATTATCATTCAAATGTAAAGTACATTTTTACATTGTTTTTAATATTGTGTAATTATATTTTGTGATATATATTTTTTTAGTATAACATACAAGATATCTGAAGAAAAAAAAATAATTATATATTAGAAGGGATAAATTTATAATTATTTTTCTAATGCTCAGAAATATACCAATAAACTTTAATATTTTTATTTTATCGCATATTTCCATAAACAATTAACATCAATTTTCTTGGAATAATTCATATGTATAATTCATAAGAATTATAAATATATAAGATAATTATGTGCTGACAATGAGAATTATAATATACATTCACTATGTGTATCAAAATACATTTCTAGTGAATTTCTTATTTCTAGTTTGAACATATGAAACATTAATATTAACATTGATATAAGATTTATGAATATATATTTATTGTGAAGGAAAAAAAATCCTTCAAGCATAAAATATACTTATAAGAATCAAGTAATTAATTGAATATCCCCTTTAATATCTTAATGTTATTTTAGTACTTTTTCTTTCTCTTTTTAATTTTTTATTTTTTTTTTATTTTATTTTCTTTAATATTTAAATTTTCAAAATGCATTCTTATTAAGAGTATAAAACCCTATTTATTATTATGTATATTTTCTCTGTACATACATATATTCAAGCTGAAGTTATAATACAGCTTAATTTATATTAATTTTTAAGAACATTTACAAATATGTTAGTATTTTATTCAATTAAAAGCAAGTAACATTTTTGGTATTAAATTTAGTCGGTGAATGTTTATCATCGCTATCACCAAGATCCATACCAAACGGTACTGAATTCCAAATAGCTTTGTCACTTCGATCATTTTCTTCACTTAAAATATTGCACATCATACGATCGTCATAAAGAGAAAATCTAGCGGTTGATTGTCCACGACCGCGAATTTTCCTTACTGAAGGTGGTAAATCTCCCGGTGTTTTTATTCTCATATGTGGATCTTTTAATACATTTACATTAGATCCTACATTAAAAACTTCGTTGAATTTATCGATGCTTTCTTGTCTATTGATATTTTCACTTTTTTTATTCCTTAAATTTACAAGGGGTAAGGTAGATGGTCGAGTATTTGTATTATTATCATTATCAAATTTTTGTTTACCAATTTGTATAGCATTTTTATCATTCTTATCTAGCGTAGAAGTAAAAGCAGGTGTTTTAGTAATAATACCATTTACATATTTTCCTGCCGGAGATATCGTTACATTAGTTTCTACAGTTTTGATCTGTACGTTCTGTTTTGACAATAAATTGGATTTAGAATCCTCTCGATCTATTTGATATTTATTATATGGATACATTTTCTTATTAACAAGTAATTTTTTAAAATTTGACCATCCGAATAATTTTTTTCGAGGGCTATCTTGCGAACAAATCTCATGTACATTTGTTTGTTTCCTTTTACCATACGAAGATGTACCATCATCCGAAATAACATTTTGAACGTATGGTATAGGTGTAGCTGGTCTCAACTGAGATAATTGCGTTGTGTGTTGACTCAAATAATCATGAGAAACAAGTCCTTGTGCTTCTGATACAATTCTATATTGATCATTACATGTATGTTTCATAGATTTATCAACAAGTACATTACCATTACATTCCAAATCTTCAAGTGAATCTGATTGTAACATTAAATTTCTTTCCATACAAGGATTTCGTCCTTGATAAGGTTGAAGTGTTTGAGTATGATTATATATTGCTATTTCATTTGAATTTTTAACTAAAATATAATAAAAACTTATATTATAATAATGAATTTTAAAACCTATTATATGATCTTAGTAAAATACTTACAGCTATGCTCATGAATAATGCTTTCAGAAGGTGATAATGTTACCAGATTTTCAACAACACCACCTTCATTGCTCGAACTATCTTGTGCTGCTTGTGATATAAGTTGAGTAGCATGGATATTGTCATGATGTGAAGATTCACTATAAAGACTATTTGTGGTTGAAGGCACTAGAGTACAATGGGAGTTTACCATTGGACTACCATCAGTAAAATGTATTGTTACTGAAAATTTATGAATTATTTTTTCTTTTAATATATAATATGTTTTTAATATACACATTATATAATGATAATGTAATGAAGACTACCTCGATGAGATTGTAATTCTGAGAGGCGTTCTTCTATACATAAAGCAGTTAATCGAGCTTCTGCATCTGCATCCCAACAATCTTCCATTGTTCTTTAATCAAACGTACTCCTGGCCTATCCACTAAATTACCTTCTAATAGAGGTCTTGCTTTATTACGAGAAACTAAAACTTGCATTTGTTCAAATGTTGGATGAAGACCAATTTCTTTCTCATATGGTTGTCTATAGGGAGGTACTTCAGATCCTAATATGTAAATATCCGAGCATCTTGAAACTAATTCCCATATTACTAAACCCATTGCATAAACATCTATTTGTTTTAGAGAACTTTCGCAATCTCGTAAATTTACAGCACCTTCCAATATTTCTGGCGCCATATATCTCAAAGTACCGACCTAATTTAAATATGAGAAATACATATTTATAAGTTATTTTAAATGTTATATACTTTTTATACTAAAAGTTATTATCTTACATCATTGATTGATTTTATTTCGGCATGCTGTGCTTCTCCATTTGAATAGTATTTAGATCCAGAAATTTGAACTGCTAATCCTAAATCGCATATACAGCAAGTACCATCAGCTTTGATTAATATATTTCTTGAATTAATGTCTCTGTGTGCAATACATGGCTTAAATTTATCTGCAAATTAATTTTTTAAGAATAAAAATTTCTTTGATTTACCTTAAAATATTTTTTGTATCTTTTACTTACCACCTTTATGTATATCAGTATGTAAATAAGCAAGACCTTTCACCATAGAAAGACCCATTTTACAAAATGTGACCCAATCAATTGTATGTGTTCTTAAAAAATCTGTTAAAGTACCACCTGGTGCAAAACTAAGTACCAAAAGATATTCAATACTACCTTCCATACTAACTCTTTCATCCATACCTAAATAAGGATTACAAATATTTTTTTAATATTATATTTCAATAAATGATAAAATACTATTTGAAAATAAAAATAATATTAACCATAGTAACTTAAAAGAGACGAGTGTTCCATAAAGGGAAGACAATAAGTATCTCGTTCATTTTGGAAATAATTACGATAATGAGAAGGAAATATTTTTACAGCAACATCTTGATCTCCCATGCTACCTTGCCATACAGAACCATAGCGACCTTGACCTGAAATTATATAAATATATTATTATATGTTCAAAATCATCTATATTATTATAGATCAGAATAATCTATTTATTAAGAACATTAATTAATAAAGAACATACCTACAATTGTTGTGAGTTTCAAATGATCTACTGTGTAAGTACCAGTTCTTAATGCTGTACTATCCATAAATTGATCTGTATAGGAAAGTGGTTTTCCTAATCTTGCTAACATATTATTATGATATATACGATATATCATTAAAGCTACAATACATATTACTAATAATATGCATAATAAAACACTTGTTATGATAACAATCCATCTCCCAGAATCTGATTGCTCCAAATACTGAGTTGCTGTAAGATTTCATAAAAAATATTATGCATAATGAACTTATAAATTAATATAGAATATTATATTTTATGTCCTGAGTTCTTACTAGGCTGATTATTTTCTGCAGAAATAGAAGTATGTGCATTATTCTCAGAATATAAACTATTAGTACTATTGATATTAAGATTACAATAATCTCCATGGCAACAACAAAATTTTGTATTATTTAATGCTTTGGTGGAACTTTGAAGGGCAATGCATTCTGTTGTTTCACATTTTTGTTCACCAGACTGTTTCCAACAACCTAAATTATTATATATAAAAATATAATAAAAATTATAAATATTATAAATTAATACAATATTATAAATTATTGAATGAATTATTATACCTTGAGATAAAATGATAATTTTAGTTCCATTTGCAGTCTTTTCCTCTTGCCATAATGCATGACAAAAATTAGTACATGTTTCAAATTTAATATTATCATTTTTCTATAAAAAATTAAATTATTTTATTTAAATATATCTAAGAAGCAAAATCTATAAAAATATATAATATTAAACTTACTGCAGTATGAATTATATTACTGTCATTGAGAAAATCTTCAGGTACACTAAGTGTATTTTGTTTTAATGAAAAATTTTCATTATTCTTTTTCCTGCTGGCACATATTCTAATGGCACTGATGGGTACTGAGTTTATCCCATATAGTAGTACGATGAATGTAATTGATACAATGGCTTTCATTGTGCCTCAGCAGGCCTCTTGAACTTGAACACTTCAAAGGAAGCGTTGCTTCTCAAGAACTGGCATCTTTGATTATAACATCATATATTGCTGCCATGTGCACAATATAATATATTCATCTGTTTATTATATATGATTCAAATATATTTATTATAATAATAAGATTATTATAATCATAAGATTTTAAAGTAAAAGATAAAAACATATTTTTTTTTAACAAAAATAAAAAAATTAATTATTAAAAGATTGTTTAGATATTAAAAAATTGATATAAATACTAATAAATAAAAGAAAATAGATGTAGTACAAAATATTATATATTACAAATTTTTATTCTGCAGAGGAAAAAGAATTTTATTAGTAGTGCAAATATTAGTAAATAATATAAATTATAAATTTCACGGAATTTCCACGTAAGAATTATTGAAGCGATAAGAGTACAATAAAAAAAAATAGAAGTAATCGCAAAAAATTAGTTTTATACAATTATACGAGAAAGACTGAAATTTTCATAGAATTGAATATGCTGCACATGTAGATGTATATAAAAAGAATCATAATACATGCTGTAAAAAAAATGAAAAATTACAAAATGAAAAAGAAAAACAGTTTCGCAGAATGCATATTAATGCATACAAGCAAATTAAAAGAAGTATACTTACATTTTAAGGAAGAGATTTTTCAAATTTTTTAATTGAAAATTTTGAAAAAAATTGAATATCAATAAAAACATTGCACATATTTGCTAAATAATATGAAAAATTTTTTTTTTTTTACAATAAATATTCAATCAACATTAACACATTTGACATACAACCCGTATCCATTAAATTGTAATTCATTCACGTGTTCGCAAAGACAACATAAAACGTCAGATTTGTATCATTGCAAAAGGCAATATTAAGTTATTACTATTAAGTTATTATTATATATATATATATAAAATACATATATATAAATACATATTGATTTATTAAATTTTTTTTATTTTTATTTTGCTTTAATTGATATTAAATATAAGAAATAATCTTCGTTGTGCTATTCAATAATCAATATATTGTTATTATTTAATTTAAAATAACGTTTAATATAAAAGAACAAAAAAATTAACTCTATAATTTTTTTGCCAATAAAGTAAAGTTTTTTTATATATTAAATATAATTTTTAAAAAGGAATTTAATTAAAATCTTTGAAATAGAAATAATTAAAGGATTCACTAATATGCTATCGATATAGTTGAAAGTAACCAATAAGAGATTCAGTTTTACTTTAAGAGTTTTCAATCTATAGTGTATAAATTCATATGAGAATATTCGTAACTGAAGACTCACGAATTGGCGCGCAGCGTCTTATTCTGCGTGTTTTTGATATTATATCGTGCAAATGGTGGCTTTCGGGATGTTTTGTTCAATGTTTCTTAAAAATTAATGAGTCTCATTGTACGTCGTGTATAATAGGAATAGAAGTAGCGTTTGCTGTTTACTTCTGAACTTGTAAAAGCTTGTCGTCAACATGGTGAAGCTTCATAAGAATTTTTTGCGGGTGACAAGGTTTTCGCAAAAGTTCGAGGTTATCCACCGTGGCCAGCAAAAGTAAGTTCTGTTATATATTTGACAATTATTTTTTATATTTTTGATGAATTAATAATAATGAATATTATATTAAAAATACTAGTAATAGTAACATTTTTAATTTTAATCTTATTAATTTTTTTTATATTGCGGTATTCTAAGACATGATAATGATATTAATATATTATTTTAAAATCATGTTTATATGCGAAATATATCATAATTACATACATATATATATATATATATATATATATATATATATATATATATATA